ATAATACCAGTTTTTTCCTTCGATCATTTTTCGTTGTTGTCAGAGAAAGGAATTAGGCATTGATTTAAGCGTCTAATAACTGAATACTTGGCCAATTTTTCACTGGTTCACTGATCTTCTATATAAGTCATTATTTTATGTTACTAGTCCCAAATCAATAAATGGACATTGTTTATAGATGATCTATTCTAAACTAAAATAATGCCCTGTGCAGTGGTAATTTAATAAAGTTTAATAGTTTACTTTCGGTGTGATGATAACACAGCTATGTTCTAACTGGATCAAGTGACAACATAATCTGTCTCACTTTGTTGCCCAGGCTGGAGTGCAGTGGCTCTACCATAGCTCACTGCAGCCTCAAACACACCTGTGTTCTAGCCCGTCTTCTGCTTCAGTCTCCAGAGTAGCAGGGACTACCGTCATTTGTCACAACATGCAGCTAATTTGTTTTTAAGTTTTTGTTCAGAGAGGATCTCACTATGTTGCTCCAGTTGGTCTCAAACTCATGGCCTACCTTAATGACCCCAAATTCTGGGATTACTGTGTGAGCCAGTGTACTCTGTCTCTGAGTGTTAAAACTTGCTAAATGTTAAATCTAAGGTAGGCCACTTCTTAATTTTATCTCCTATATAGTTGGAGTGATAAAACTGCCCCACTTCATATGAGGAGTTTCACATGATACCATGAAAACACTGTGAACATAAGATACTAATATTAGTATCACTGGCTATAACGTTAGCACAGAATGTGTTAGTGCCCCTATACCTCTGCTTATATTGATTTTATTTTATTTTATATTATAATATTAAAATATAATTAATGTAGTGCACTATATTATAAAGGGTTTCTTCTGTGAGGTGTGATATGTATGGATATTAATCAATTTAATGTAAACATATAAATACTTCCTTTAAAAAAGTTCAAGAATAATTCTCAATAATGAATATAGAGTTACGTTATGGCATAATTTTTATAAACACTTTTGTTTAGAAGACCAGTATGGAAACAATCATAGATTATATTCCAATCTTCACTGAGGGGACATATATCTACTTTTTGAATAAGCAAAAATTTTGTGATCTAGGGTATTTGTAGTTTTTTAAAAAATATAAATTATGGTAGTGTTAGGAAGTTAAAGAAGAAGCTTTAATAATGGCATATTTCTTTCTTTTTTTTTTTTTTTTTGTGACAGAGTCCCATTCTATTGCCCTGGGTAGAGTACCATGGTGTCACAACTCACCACAACCTCCAATCCTGGGCTTAGGTGATTGTCTTGCCTCAGCCTCCCAAGTAGCTGGGACTACAGGTGCCCACCAGAACACCCAGCTATTTTTTGTTGCAGTTTGGCCGGGGCCAGCCATGCTCGGTATATGGTTTGAACCAGCCATGCTCGGTATATGGAGCCGGCGTCCCACCCACTGAGTCACAGGAGCCACCCAATAATGGCATATTTCTGAAGTTAATAATTATATAATTGTTTTAGTCAACATATATTTACTTATGCTTTTGTATAAATATATTTCTCAATTGAAAGAATTTAATATACTCACTGATAGTACAATTCTCCATATGGATAAACAGATCATTTTTTGTAATGTTGTATCAGATTCATTAACTAATAATTTAACCCACTTCTCAAACTAAATAAAATTTCAACAGACACGTTATCAGGGCCAAAAGTTATACAAAGGAGAAAATGAGCGATGATTCTGGAACTGGTAGATGGCAACAGTGCAAATTTGATACATACACTGTTATTAGTCTTTACATTCAGATGGAATTTATTGAATCATATACAGAGACCTAGACTTAACTATTTTATTCACATTTATCAGAAAATTAAAACACTACATGAATAAAACACATATCTGAGGATTAATAAAAGTGTCATTAGTTTTTGAAATTCAAGAATGTAAACTCCCTGAAAATCAAATTGTGTTGAAAAAAATCCTGCAGAGGGAAAGCTGTTTGATTTTAGAGAAAAAAAAAAAATTGTCTCAAAGTTTCAGACTCTCTGAATTAGTTATCAACAAAACAAACAAACAAAATACCCCAGTAAGAACTGGACTGCACAAATAACACTGGATTTTACAAAATGTATTTACCTGAGGTCTGATGGGTCAGTGAGATTTACAAAGAGGATCAAAGTGGAGACTTCAAAATTACTCAGATTGTGATGATTCGAACACATTCGTGAAAACTTTTGCTTTGGTGCTATATAAGCAAACACTGTGTATTAGTGTTTTTTAAAATAAATAAAATACATTCTTTTGTTGTATGAGAAAAACTTGATTGCTGAATGTAACGATGGTGTGAAGTTGACAGATTCAAGATGAAGCGGCTGAGGCATCAGCCATATACACGTGAGCTGGTGGGTTTGAATCCAGCCTGGACCCACCACACAATGATGACAGCAACCAAAAAAAAAACAAAACAGCCAGGCGTTGTGCTGGGTGCCTGTAGTCCCAGCTACTTGGGAGGCAGAGGCAGTAGAATCACTTGAGCCCAGGAGTTGCAGGTTCCTGTGAGCTGTGATGCTACAGCACTCTACCCAGGGTGACAGCTTGAGGGTCTGTCTCAAAAAAAAAAAAAAAAGAAAAGAAAATAGGACTCTTTGCCTGTTAACTCTGTGTGCTAACCTCACCTGCAGCATTGCTTACCATGAATTACTCCTTCTAGGTACCCTTTGAATAAATACAGGCTTCATATTGTCACTCTGTGCTGAAGTCTTGATTGTGAGCCACCTTGCTCATTAGCAAGGCAATGTTGGAACTTGTCTAATACCAGATGAGCAAGGTCGTGCTGTAGCTGAGTGTAATGTAACAAAATTTGAGTTGGAAGACAGAGGAATCTACCTGATGAGGCTAGCTTCTCTCAAAACTGTATCTGTGGAATTTCAAATTCCAGCTGATGCATGGCGGTTTAAACCAGAGAAAAGACTATGGAATAAAGATTATCATAGTTTGAAGATGGTTGAAGGGACACTGTCCAGTGCGATGACTTTAGCTCAGTAAAGACAAATGAGGTTCAACGTGAGGGGGGAAGGTAAAGAGATTGGTGGGGGTGTAGGAGGCAGAGTGGATGACGTATGACACTGTGTGCCAGGAAGGAAAGGGCAGGGTGCAAGTGGAGGGCAATGAATCAAAATCCAGGTAAAATCAAACAACCCCCCTGCTTTAACTCGCAGTAGTGGAGTATTTAGCTTTTCTGTAAGAACCCTTATCTGTTTAGAATACTTGGGGAAAAAGCATCTTTCATGCCTCTCTTCCTGTCTCCTTATTTCTTATACCCCATTCAGGTAACTAATAATTCAAAAACTCAAGTCACTTCCTCTCTGACTCAGGCCACAAATTAGCTCCTCCTTCCTCTTTGATCCCACAGCACTTTCACTGGGAGCTGCGCTTGGCACTTATTACAGTGTGACCACCACCCCCCCCCCGGCAATGATTTTTTTTGTGTTCCTTCTTTGTGCTAGGCATCATGCTAGGCACTAAGGACAGAGATAAATTACCATGTTTCCCTGAAAATAAGACACTGTCTTACATTTATTTTTTCTCAAGAAGACACACTAGGGCTTATTTTCAGTGGATGTCTCCACATCAAAATGGATGATATGCTGCATAGCCGTGCCCATCTCTAGGCCTTATTTAACAAGACCTAGGGTAGGGCTTATATTTAACAAATGCATAGAAATCCTGCTAGGGCTTATTTTGGGGGTAGGTCTTATTTTCGGGGAAACACAGTAGGCATAAAGCCTGTCCTCAAGGAGCTCACAGTCTAGAAATGGATATGGGGGTACTAAACAGAATGTATCACACTCCTGTGATAAATGTGGTAGTAAACGCACTAAATGTGTAATGCACAGATTTAGCACAGAGAAGGTGATTGGCTTGAGCTAGAGATGGGAGGATCAAGGAAGACTGACTGGATAAGATGACTGATACAAGGTCATGTCTCTTTCTGTTTCTTTTATGTCACTGTCAACCTTTTGAGGACAGCAGTTATGTCTCACTCTTCTTAATTTCATGGCCTAACAAAATTTGTAGCACAGATATCTATCTGTGGAAATTTACTTAAACAGTTAGGAATCTGGTTCTAAAGGCTGATGCATCTAGAATCCTCAATCTTTATATTCACAATCATCTTTGTTAGTTTTGACCTTTGCCTCTGCCCATGAGTGCCTGCATGCTTGAAATGAATAACAAACCTCTTTTCTTTGATGAGGTTGGCTGTGACCGTTCTCTTAACTGTATGAGATATCATTTCTGCTGCTTTATTCTCTTTTTGATTTAGAGATCCCCTTAACTTAAAAAATATGCTTCTTTAATTAATTAGAAAACCATTAGAAATCAAACAAACTAACAGGATTTTACAGGCTTTTTGAAAAATAATGTTTTGTTTTTTATGGAAACATGTATTTTTGCAAACATTAACAATCAGCACAAAGTTAAAAAAAGCATAGATGTCTTTGGCCTTAGGCCAGTTTATATCAAACACATTGTACAATAAGGTGACATTGAATTCTATTTTTTAACCGTATCGTTGAAACCATGAAACCTGATAGCGTTTCATTCAAATGAATACAAATTGTGTCTTTAAAAGTATTAATATTTCATAAAATGAAAGTTTTAAAACGTTATACTATTGGCCCCATATTAATAAAATGCTTGCCTGTGACCATTAGGATAGGTAAATTTCAACAACAACCCTCTGGCATCTCTGTAGACCTTGAATAAGACCAAACTGATTATGATCATGACACATTATAGAATTTTATCCCTGCAATTCCTTTTCAGGTATGACATTAAAAAGAACAATATTTAATTTAAAGGGTATAAAAATTCACATCACCATAAATATAGAATTCAGTTTACAGATAACTGCAATGAAGAAATCTGTTGTCTAATTATAAAGCAACCTGATGAGTTCTCAAAATTTTCTAAGCTTATGTTCCTTATTACCATATGTTATAGGGAACAGTAAAGACATCTCAATTCAAATATTTTGAAGAAATGTGTATTTAGCAACTGAATACATGCTATAAAAAATAATTTACAGCAGCAGTTTCATTACAGTTTTCTCTCCAATGTTCTAGTTCCCATCGGAAATGCAATGATAAATACAGACATGGAACATATTTCCTGCCTGGCCAAAACATGCTTATAGATTGGGCACACACCTCTGCCCTTAAATAGTTCATAAACCACCTTGTCACCTGTGTGGGAAAATCTCGCATTTTAGGATGATGTTGAATACATTAAAATGGAGTCCCTATAGAAAATTTTATTTTACACTGTTTTCTTTTGTCAAAAGTATTTACATCTCTTTTGCCTAATGTGTAGGTAGCAAAAATATTAAACACATACCATTGAAAATCACTAAATAGTACATAAAAAAGCATTACGTGTGCATTTACATGCGTTTAAATTTTACATTTGATTTCAACTGGGCTACAATTTCTCCGCTGTGATGCATCTTTTTCATACTTTGAGACTGCTGTCAGAATTTTATGGTCACAAGTCATTTAAAAAAAGTTTCGTCTCTGATGACACATGCATATGCCAAAATCTGAATTATTAAATGGGATATTTTCGTGCAAAATTCCCCCTCACAATACACATTGGCAGAATATTCTGACTGCAAGAAGAGTTATTTATCTGCAAGTTACACATACACGTCTATCATTTTCTTCAAAAACTGAGACCTGCTGGTATATAAAGACATGACAGCAGATTCTTTTGTTTATGTAACTTTTAATTGAAGTCTAGACTTTTTATTCTATTGGCATTTTATAATGCTAAATAAAATGCATTAAGATTTCGGAAGGCATTCACGAGGATACACAATCTCTGTCCCTTTACATCCTTTAATTTTGAGTGATAGTAAGAAATAAGCTACTTCTATTGCAAATAAATTTCTTTCAGCTGCAAATTTAGAAGGAAATGCAACACTGAATTTTAGTACAGTTAAGATGCCCTGTGAAAATAAAAAGAATGGCCTATTTCGGGAGCAATCTTTGTTCTTTCATTTATCTTTCAAACACTATTTTCTGTATAGGGGAGTGTCCTTCAATAATTTAACCATGCAGCTTACATTTGAGGATGTACAGTACTTTCCAAAGCAATACCATTTAGTCAATGAAGCTTAAGATCGAACATAGATTATTTTCAGGCATTTATTTGAAACAAGTAGTGGCAACAAATTGTTTATTCAAAATAATCATTAAAACTGAAAGATGAGCTTCCATCTGTGAAATATTTCACCTGATAGGGAATAAAAATTCACTGTAGTCTAAAGTGAGAAAGTAATGCTGAGTTAATTAGAATCCCAAGACAGCTACAGTTAGAATTCGAATGCTACTTCATTAATTAGTTATATGAGGTTTTCTTTGCATTTTTGTGCATGATGAAGGATATAGAAAAGGATTCCTGAAAAGGTGAGGGCCATGCAAAGGAAACCATATTATAATGTTGAAAGTCTTACCTATCTTGAAGTCAATGATTCCCAACAAATAATTTTAGGACAAAGAAGGCGTCAAATCCTGAATTATAAATCTTTTACCTTATTTTGGAAATGGGTGCAGGAAACACAAGTTTTAACATCTTTTAAATGTAGGTTGCGTCCTGGAAAATAGTTTGTATATAAGCCATTCCCATCAACATGAAATGAGTTATGTATACCTGGTACAGATCATTGTTAAACAAGAGGGGGCTGATCCACACGTGATCGGTTGGAAAATTTTCCTCCAAGATATTGTTCTTATTACTATTGATCCCTCTCTTTTCAAAACGAAGGACACAGATATAATTCCTAGCAGAACCATGAGAAATATTTATGTCTCAAATGTCATGCAGGGATTCAAGTGCAGAATCCGAGGTCTCTATTAACACTATCATGAGACAATGCTGTTTTTTCGTGAGCTATGCAGTTCCTTTTCTCTTCATTGATCCTTAGTTATAATAAAAATCACTGTGTTCCTTTATTGCTGATGAAATGCTGTTTTTCTAAGAACATTAAGCAAGTTAAAATTAATTTAGGTAATACTTAAGGGGAATGTGAACAGCTTCCATTTGTTTGATTTACTCATAAAAATAAAGCATAATTTATATTCAGGTTTTAGAACTTACATGTTAATGCTGTAAATATGTTTCTAGAACAATATCAGCTACCCCCTTACACAACTGAAAATAAAATGTCAAAAAAAAGAAAGCAGCATACAATTGGAATTTTTAAAACAAAACTATATCACACAATACTTGTAGGACAGAAAACTACTCTAGCTTAGAAAACAACTAATTTTTACTGCATATTTGTCATGGTACATTTAAATTATAGTTTTAATAAAATACATCTTTAGATCAAAGCTGAAAGAAGACATCAGTAGTAGATCAGTGTATTCCATTTTTCTTCTGGATGATGGATGGTTTATGTTTTTAAAATTTCCACAGACTATTTCATTCAGTATCAATGTACTCTTGACTCCTCCAGTACATACACAAGGGCTGGTAGACAAAAAATATCCTTGACTCCAACCACATTTTGGAATATTCATCAGCTTAGTAAATCCATGCAGTTTATTTTAGGTCAATAAAATGGCTTTGCTGATGCCGTTTTTCTCCTTTAGATGGCAGTATGGCAAATGATTTTTTTTTTTAATTATTATTTTTTTTTTATTTCTCAGGCAAAGAATGAAGCGAAACGTACGTGTAATCTCGTAGGAGACATTAAGTCTGCTAAAGTGAACATCCGTATTCACCTGTGATCTTTGTTAGGCGGGACTGTTAGGAAGAAAGCCCGTTAGAAAAGTTATTCATGGATTTAATTTATAATGAGTGGGACTCAGTTGAATTTCCCACCCTTGTAAACATCCACATAATGCCATGAAATAGTTCATGTATATTGCATTGTTTCCAGTTCTCGTCGAGCCAAGTTTGTCCTTGTTTGAGGTTTCTAGAGGTAATGCAGCTCAGACACTCCTCGGTGCCCTCTCAAACTCGTGGGTCCTCCTGTTTCTCCCTTTCTTATTTTCCTGTAAGTGCTTCCACTTGTTACTGTTCCCCTGGGGGTGTCCCGGCCGCTGCCGACGCTGTTTTCGGTCTCTTTTCCAGACTTGTTCACAAAACTCATCCATTGTGTTCAGGTTCGGGTGGTTGATGAGCTGCATGAAGTCTCTGTACCAGACCTTCTGGCTGGGGGTCATGCTGTTGGACATCTCTTTGGTCTTAGAGCCGTCTCCATCATCATCTTTATGGAGAAGTTCTTCCAAATGCTCCGTGTCTATGACTTCCAGGGTTACTTTAAGCAGCGTCTGCATGAAGCCATGCTCCACGGCGTGGCAGAGGTAATGGCCCGAATCCTTCCGCTGCAGACTCCGCAGCAGCAGGCCTTGTTCTGTCCTGATGATGTGATCGTCCACTCTGATCTACACGGGGACAAAAGCAGCATAAAATAGACATATTTAAGGCAGTATAGGATCTGAAACTAAGTCAATGCAAATTTACAGTGTGTCTTGAGCCACATTTTAGCAGTTATTAGCCTTCTGAAGGTAAATGACAGTGTTTTCCCAGCAGAAAAAGGAAGGTATCATATATTGCCCATTAATTTTAAGATGCATTGGAAAATATTGGTTATACTATTATTTCATAGAGTTTCTTATAATTTAAAATATTCAAGATAACTGGAAGGGCCAACATGATGGCTCACAATTAGAATCTTAGCACTTTGATAGGCTTGGGAGAATTGCTTGAGGTCAGAAGTTACAGACCAGCCTGAGCAAGAGTGAGACTAATCTCTATAAAAAATAGAAAAAAATATTAGCTGGGATTGGTGGTACATGCCGGTCTTCCCAGGAACTTGGGCGCTGAGGCTGGAGAACCGCTTAAGCTCCAGAGTTTGAGATTACAGTGAGGTATGATAACACCACTGCTTTCTAGCCCAACAGAGGGAGACTCTACTCCAACAAAGGAGAACTGGAGGAAGGAACTAAGATATGTTTTATTTTATAAATTTCAAAGGGTATATAAATATGAGAGAAACCTAATGTTTAATACAGAACTTGGAATACAGAACAATGGTACTAGATAACAATAGGACAATAGAAAAAACTTCTAATAAATTTCAAAAAATGAAATAAACAGTAGTCGAAAAAACAAAAGAAAATATGGGATTGTGTAGGTAATAATTAATCATCCAACTTACTAGAGACAACTATGTGAGGAGGTGTTCTTGAATATTTCTAACCCCTCTATTATTTTGAATTCAGTTCATGATAATGATCTGAAAAGCCTTACTTGGTAACGTGAAAAATCAATCTTGGCATCTGTACAATGTGATTATATAGTTTAAAGACTGCTTGAAATGTACACAAAGATAATGGAGAGGAATTTCTCCTTTATATTCATATTGTTTGTAAAATTATCTCCACATAATATATTTTATCAACTAAATGTTTACTCATATTTAATGCTTTTAAAGGCTTTAAGGAATCAGAGTACTCACTAAGATTTTCTGTATACAATTCTTGACTTATATACAGAAATAAGTGTATCCATTAGGAAGACCCACCTGTAGTTATATCAGGGTTGATATGGTGACATCAGGGCTCTTACCCTAAATTTACTACTCCTTTCTTCCAACCTCTCCACCCCCATTGGAGGACAAAGTTAATAGAGAAAGACGAACAGGTTTGGATAGCAGAATGAATTGCACAAATGAATAGGATTTGATGTTTTGATTGTGTACAAATACAGACAACATAACTGATTTATAGAAACCACAGTAAAACATAAATAGACTTTAAAATATACCCTCAGACTTCTTTTAGGATCAAAACTCATACCAGCTTGTTTCTCTAATTTCTAGAGAAAAGGTGGTCACATTTTCAGCCTGCAGTGAATGCTTGTTTAATGCATGAGCTATTGATTGGATGAGAAAGGAATAAGGGTAGGGCTTTCGGTACTTTTTCTTTAATTCAATGTTGGGCTCACTTAATAGTATATGTTAGAGAGAAATAATCAGGTCAGTTTCATTCCTATACCTCTTCTTTTCGTTCTTCATTTCGCCTCTGGAATTGCCAGTAGACCAGTGCTCTTTGTGACTTGGGACTGCATTCCAGGAACGTGCTACTGTTTTCTACTCCATAGATGATTCTTTCTTCAAGGCTGTGGCTGTGGTGATTATCTAGCCAGTGATGAGGGAGTGCAATGAGAACATGTTAGAGAAAGAATCTCAACTCTCTGTAGCATTTATTTGGAAATTCAAGAGATAAGTTGTTGCCAAGTTGGAAGTTGTTTTCAGATTGATTGAGAATGGTAGATATGGCAGGGATGTAAGGTTTCAGTACGCAAATCGCTATTCAAATAGACTCATCATTTTGGTGTGGATTATATAAAGCTGCAGTCTCCACCCTCCATCCCCCCCACGGCCTGTTGAGAACCAGCCACACTGGAGGCGAACAGTGGGTGAGTGAACAGAAGCTTCATCTGCACTTACAGCTGCTCCCATCACTGCCTGAGCTTGGCCTCCTGTCAAATCCGTGGTAGCATTAGGTTCTGTCAGAGTGTGAGCCCTACTAAGCTGTGCATGAGGAATCTAGGTTGTATAGTGTTCCCACCCATCATTTTCTTCCATAAAACCAGTCCCTGGTGCCAAAAAGGTTGGAGACTGCTGATATAAAGCATATGCGGAGATTGGTCTACCAGAAAATTGCATTATATTAACAAAATCAGTCATGTGTGCAGTATATCTGTGTATCCTTCTGTGCCACCAGAGTTACTCTATAAGGTATTATTCTCACTGTAAAACTAATGGGACCAGTTTGTATTATAATATTTTCTAACACAAAAGTTATTGGACTGGGCTTTTGGAAACAAGTATCTGTTTCTGAGAAATTATTTGCTCTTTGTATATGTTTTTGATCTATAAAATTAAATTTACCAACCAATAATATTTATCTAGCATTTTACAGAAGGTAGAGTTCAGGAAGTTTATACTTCCCACCAATAACTCCTAAATAATCCACAAGTTTGTCCTGAAGATGAATGGGTGTGAAATATTTGGTATGGCTCAGAGGAAGGATGCATAATTATAACGCAATGTGGTTTCAATTGTCTTTAGTTTAACATGACACATCTTTTATTATTTTCAAGAATTAGGCTATGGAATATGGCAAGAGTATATAATAAAATTCAGCAATAGAAAAACCTGTTTCCTGATTAAGTTTCTATTATTTTACCCTTTATGTAACCTGCTTCAATGTGGTAAATGAAACACAGTTCAGATCAAAAGTACAACACAGGGAATCTAGGTAAAACTCATTTAGAGAACAAAACTCTTTATTATCTTGTATAATCCTGTTTCCAGTATGACATCCTGTACAATCTGGAACCCATTAAATTAATTTAGAAAATAACAAATATATTTTCACATGCACAGAAAGCTGACAGCGCAGACAGATGAAAAATTTTGCATTCTACTTCAAACTCAGCTAGATTTTTAATTTAAAAAATGTTTCCCTTCCCTCCTTTTTTGCACTGCTTTGACAGTTTTACTCTTGTCATAATCAACTGAGAACTTTTGTCTGTCAAAGCCAATATGATTTGCACTCACTAGGTTTAAAGATTTCCAAAACCCTGTCTCCGTGCAATCCCTGTACAAGGCCTCAGTCCGTCCTCTCCTGTGCTCACGCTGCTACGGGCAACCTTCTGCCCCCAGTTACTCCCTCCGGGGATGTCAGCCTCACTGCATGCTTCTCAAATGCTCTAGGTATGAGACAGAACTCATCTAATA